CTTTACTTTACTTTAACTTTATTGACATTATTCATTTTGAATAGAACATAGTCCAATCTTTAACTAGATAACAATTCCTAAATACATAAACAAAAACATACTAAAACAGTTCAACAAAAGGGCTTGGAAAAATTAGGGAATTGATAATTACTGTGTCACATTACCATACTTTCTTTTATAAAAATGCCAAGCTGTATTAATGTGGAAGTGTTGCCCATAATGTATTTAAATTTTGAATCTTCATCCATCAAATGGAAATTAACAGTTTTATTTTTAATTGAGTCAAACAATTTTCTCCTAATTGTAATATGTTGTGGGTATTTCATAACATAATGGAATTCATCCGTATTTGAATTTGTGTTGCATCTTGTACAGATCCTGCGTTCAACTTTAACCTTTGGCCGTAAAGTGCCTGTGCAATGCCCACCCTCACATTTCCCACTTTAGATCTGTATCCCACTGAAATGGGCAGTTATTAATTTTTTTACTGAAAATGATTACTCGTATCCAAGTAAATTTGGGATATTTCTCGTGTTGTAGCCACGCCCACCTATTCTGAAACTGTCGACTGTTTCCGGAATTCCGACTCTCGCCGAAAGTGCGTCACCAAATGCCAAAATGTTAGAGGAAGTCATACCCCTGAGCCGTAATAACACTGGTCATTCAGTATACTTTTAAACGATATACATTTTTCAGTCGGCGTTTTTGTTGTCTTTTTTTCCGTCTATTTTTTTTTTCTGAGAGAGAGAGAGAGAGTTTTTAGATGTTGTGTTGTGGGCAGTTGCAGTGAAACGTATAGTTATAGTGTAAGTATTCACACGTTTCTAATCGATCCGAAGGTGCGACATCAGTGGACGAAAGCCACTTAGCCTCAGATTCTTTTTTTGGAAAAACTGTCCTCGTCCATGAAAAAACAACTAGGTTTAAAGAGAAACGCCGACAAGCACTTTTGAAAGAAATAGATTCCGGACTATGATCACCGAGACGGATTTCAGAAGAGAGAAACGTCCGGCAAGTGTTTCAAATGAGTTGACTTTTTTGCGATCCTGATTATTGCTTTATAGAGACCATTTAGTTCCTGTTAAGTAAAAGGTAGCAATAATTTTGACAGTGACACGAAAAGG